GAACAAACCCTTAAATTTATAAGTTTCTACTAGACATTTTGCTTTTACGGACCACTTGCCGCTTCTGCGTCGTTGCTTTAGCAACAGAAGTTCCACTTTTGCGAAAAAAATACCACACAAATGACCTTTCGCACCTGCGAATATTCTTCTACTTGCGAAGTGCAAGGAAAAACTCGCTTCTGCGCCAAGGCCCTCGCATATGCGTTGCTGCAGATGCGACCAAAATTTTGCATCTGCAAACCCCTGCTCCCAGCTCCATTTTGAGCTTCTGTGCATGCCTGCCGCATTTGCGGCTTCGCACCTGCACCCAAATTTCCGCAGGTGTAGTCACGCTAGAACTTAGCCAAAACTAGCATTAACCAATAAGTTCTAAAATGATCCGAACCATTTCCGAAACTCGTCCGAGCCCCTCAGGACCCCATCCGAACATACCAATAAGTTTTAAAATATAACACGGACCTACTCGAGGCCTCAAATCACATATATCAACCTCAAAGCCACAAATCGCACCTTAAATCGAACATGGTGAACTTTTGAACTTTCGATTTCCAGAACTCATGCCGAATCATATCAAATCAAGGAATCACTTCAAAATTTGCACACAAGTTCCAAATAACATAACAGACGTATTCCAACTCCCAAAAATTCGAACCGGATGTCATCAAAGTCAACTCCCGGTCAAACCTATGAACTTTCCAAACTTTCAAATCGTCAACTTTCGCTAATTAGCGCCATAACCTTCTATCCAAACGCAAATCCGGGTAGGGTTGTGCATTCGAATCGATTTATCGATAAATCAAATCGATTATTTGTTATCGGTTTATAGATTTCGATTTCGAAATTTTCCTTATCGAGTTATCGATTTCGATTTTGTCCTCTTCGGTTATCGGTTTATCGATAAACGGATAAGATATGCTAAAAAATTAATTTTTTTACCCTTATTCTATAATACCCTTTCCTTTACCCTAAGTTCCTCACCCTATTATTTCATCTACCACATTTAAGGAATGATCATATTTAAAGCTCAAGGGAATGAAGTTCAAATTAATGGAAAATAGAATTAGTCGTGATGATGTATTTTTATTTTTTTATACCGTTGGAGTGTTGGTGGCATACATTTGATCCCTTACTTTAGTTTCGTTGCATGTGCTTGTTGACATAATTTTTATGTTATAAACGGCGTTCGTCTTATTTTAACTTCTTTTTGTCCATATTAGTTAGGCGTGTTTATAACAATATACTTTCCATGGAATCCCGCAAATTTTCTTATTGGTGTAATCGATAAGCCCCAAAAATTGATAAATCGAAATCGAAAAAATCGAAACCTTATTGAAACGATAGCGATAAGCATATGTACAAATCGATAATCGATAAGGGTTAAAATCGAATCGATAAATCAAACGCACACCCCTAAATCCGGGCATACGCCCAAGTCCAAAATTATTATCCAAACCTAAACCATCGAAACTCTGTTACGAGGCCAATTATACAAAAGTTAAACTTGGTCAACTCTTCCAACTTAAAGCTTCTAAAATTGAGAATCATTCTTCCAAATCAATCTGAATCACCCGAAAACCAAAACCGAGGATTCACACAAGTCATAATACATCATATGAAGCTACTCATACTCTTGAACCACAGAACGAAATGCAAATGGTCAAAACGACCGGTCGAGTCGTTACAATAATATTATTAAATAATATGTTTGAATTAAAGACATATAAATTCCAAAAAATAATGAATGTTGATCCTATTTAGCTAGATTAATAAACAAAAAAATCATTTATTGTGAGTTTTGGTGTTCCGCCACGATCGAAGTTATCACATTATCTTTTTTCTTTCTTTCTCTGTCTCTCCCTCCTTCTTTCTCTCTATCTCTACTATAATTTTAATTTTTTTGTTATTCATTTTGATAGATGAGTATTGTCTTAAAATATTATACAAAATAATAAAGAAAAATATATATTATTTGATGAGACAATTAAAAGAGTTAAAAGATAATAGTGAATGACTTACATTCACGTTATGCCCAAAAAAAATTATGACCATATTATATTATTTAAATAACAAATAATAATTTATATAAGATAAATCTTGGTTGCTTTTAAATCCTAAATATCAAGACTTCCAACATAAATCAAATAAGAAAGAATTTAAATGGTAAAAAATTAATGAATATTCAATTATGAAGTCTTAACCATTTTTGTATTCACTTGCCAAATAGGGGTTAGGCAAAACTGAGACCGGTTTTGAGGTGAGACTCTTGTAAAATACTTTTGGATTACGTGTGGGGTCTTACTATGTAAAGCTTCCACCTCAAGCGCCCCAGACGTATGCTTAATATGCATCCAATGCCTCGCGCACGAGCTCGTCCAAAAGTTATTGGGCAATTATGCGTAAATAGCTTATGTAGATTATCAAAAATTCACTACAATCATTTGACTCGTCAAGAGCCTTATTCATTGATCGTAATTCAAAAGTTGAGATAGAACACTAATACCGCACCATAAAAGTGGATTTAATAAAACCTTTTCATCCGAAAATTCTTCATGTTCTAAGTTTTGGTGGATCTTCATTAGTTAATTCTTTTTATTTTTCTCTCCAAATCTTATTTTTTTACTTTATTTCATTTGATAACAATATTTTTTTTATTTGGGGGTTATGAAACTTATTATTTAATAATTAGTGTTAGTAATAACAATTTATAAATAACTATATTCATTAATGTTCTTGTAGTAATGAATTAGATTATTGAATTGTTTGTTAATTTATTACTTCTAATATCTTATTGGAAGCACACTGGTATGTTACATTATGTAATTGTAAATTATTCTTCTAAGACTAATTGTTGTTTTCTAATTTTGAACTTGTAACTTGGTTGCTTATCAAAAAATATCAATAAAGAAAACAATAGTCTTTCGAGAAAAAATTTAAATTATTGTATTAAAAATTTATTTTCGTATTTATTTACTTATCGCCCAAACTACGTAAAAATAATATTTTAAAGTTTGATTTTATACTATTAGATTAAAGTGTTAGTTTTCTTGTTTGATTAGGCTCCATCTTTGAAACTTACATGCAGTAAAAGTCTTTTTAAATTCTCTATGTGCATTGAATTGGAGGTCTTAAATACACGTGATGTAAGTTTTTATTAAAATTTATGCTATATTATTTAAATAAAAATAATAATTTATATAAGGTAAAATCTATAAACTCCTATATTAGGACTTTATACATAGTTCAAATAAAAAAACGATTGTTATAGTTAAATTTTAGTTGATTTAAAAGTCCTAAATATTAGAAAATTAAATTATAATTTTATCTAATATAAAATCTATTTTTAAAGGGTAAAAAGGCGAACAACGTTCCGCTAATGGATTTTTGCTTTTAATATAATGTGTGTATACTATAGTTATTCCAGGAAACAATAATAGTGTAATTTAGCTATTTTATTGTTGTACACTATTAAGGTATACACAAAATTGTGTAGCTCGATAATAGACAATGTACATAAGTACAGCCATGTAATTTTTTAAGAAGCAATTTTGTAATTGGGTAGATGCGAATAAATATTTTGTTTAAATAATCATGAAAAAACTACCAAACTTTTAAATAACAAACTAAAACATGTAAGACAGCAAACATTGATGTACTACCAAAGGATGTGACGCGGCGGATAAAGTTGCTCTTCCCCTGACCTGAGGTCTCGAATTCGAGTCCTGAGTGTGAAAAAATCCTTGGTAGGGAACGCTTCCTCTCGAATGGGGCCTTATGCGGTGCGAATCCTAATATAGTTGGACTCCAATACAGGTACCGGAAAAAAATATTGATGTTACAGATTGCCATTGGCAGCTCAGAAAATGATTAAGTGCAGTGACCAAAACGAATTAGAAATGAGATTAGTAAAACAACTGAATGAAAAAGACAGTTCATTCTGTTGGCCAATAAAAGAAATGGTTGGTATCTTTTTCTTTTAACGAAAATATTTAGACTAACTCAACCAAAAAGCTAGCTCATGAAGCAAGAATTACTTAAAATATCTATTAGTTAAGTCTCACTCGATGTGAGATTCAACACCTTCGCTAATGCTAACATTAGGTAAATTGGAATGAATCTGAGTTTTCATATCATATTAAAAAAATAAACCTTAATTCTAACTCAACTTCAAAAGTTAGCTCTCGAAGATTTTTAAGATCATACAGAGACCCATTTGTTAATTCCCACCTGCGTGGGACTCAATATTTTCAGATAATAAAAAGGTTATAGATTGACAGACACAAATACTAGAAACAATAAAAGAAATAATTAGAGCTATACCTTAACTTCTGGAAAAGTAGAAGAGAAGTGCAGAAAGTAATTTCACCAATTCGCTATTCTGACGGTTATACTTGTGAAAGAGACAAAGTAAGAAAAACATTCAATTTTTTATTTATTTCCCTATACTTTCGATAATTTGATTCATTCTTATCTATATCATATCACCGATATAATGAAAACCTAACACAAATATATACCTCTCTATTTCAGGACCAAGTACTAGAAGCCATAATATAAATGGAAATCATATACAAAAGGATTTTATCTGATTTTCCATATAGGTGGTTTAAATATTGAGTAAAGTACCCCAATAATAAATTCAACAAGAAATATGCTACTTGTACTATAAAAATGGACAAGTAAACCCATATAATAAAAATCTTACACAAATATTAATTTGTAAAATATTTCCATTATATAAGTTGTTTTGAAATATAAAGATTATCTTCGTAACTAGCTGAAGTCAATAATTAAAAGGTAAATAGAAATAAAAAGATAAAGGAATAACAGAACTACAGAAGTAAAGAAAGAAATTAAAAAGAAGTTAGGACGGCTTTTCATAGGACAATACTCAATTCCGCCAGTAATTGTCTTTTTCATCCTTACACTTGTGCGATTTTGTGGGGGTTCTGTTTCTCTTTTCTCTACTTGCTTTCACTGTAAGTTTCGCCCTTCTTTGCTCCTGTCCCTCTATTTTTGGGTAACTGCAAGTTTATTACTTGGGTTTGTTCACTAGTGTGTGTGTGTGTGTGTTTGTTTGTTTGCCAAATTACATACATTGATTTTCCTTTTGAGACGATACATTGATTTGTTTATACCATGCCTTTCGTTTGTTCGTTTTTTGCACGTTTGCAGAATTTTGGTTTGTTTATTTGTTTATTAAAGTAAGAGAACGCCCAAAGAACTGTGGATAGCTCATCTGACTTTGGTGGAAAACTGTGGATAGCCTTTTTTATCCGTTTGATGTATGGTATTTACTTCGCATTTATGGGATTTTATAGATTTATCTTTTCTTTCAACACATCTTGAGTTCTTGGATTCTAGTTTTTTTTCGTCGTTTGAGTCTGTGAACCTTGGATAAAATGCCTTTCAAAGTATTTAGATGATTGTGCATCCAACCGTGTGGTCGAGGTTAATGATAGGTAAAACTATGGAATACCAGGGTTCAGAGTTATCCCATACATGTCCTAGTGGAAGGTACCATGTATCCTTCCAGTTTATGTGAATATTTTCATTTTCCAGATTCAAACTTTGTAAACTTTGACCAATATTTTGGAATGTATTTTTTCATCATATTGACATGAGAAGAATTGCAACTTATAGTACTTCTCGTATAATTTTTGGATTTTAACTTTAAAATATCGGCTTAGTCTAATCCACTTTTGCTTCAAAGATTAGTCAAATTATCTTCCGAAAAGCGAAAAAGTTTACATAAACTAAAACGGAGGGAGTAGTACGAGTATGTTCAACTTTTAAAGAGTTTGTAAGTCTATTTGGAAGTACCAGTAAAGAGTCCCGGTACCCATGTCATACCCATCTGACGCTGGTATGACAAGGCAATGAAGAGTTTGTTTAAGTACACGCAAACACGCATATAAATATGTATATATGTACGTACACACACAAGTTCTTGAAGTCTAATTTTTTCATGTCATGTCTTTTGAATCCATGGCCATTGATTATATTCCTTTCGCTTTTCCATGGTTTGTTTTTTTATGGACATTGATTATTCCTTTTGCTTACTAATGGTTGGATTTTTCAGCAGAATACTTGCACTTCACCTAGATGGTGAAATTTATGAAGTTCATTGAATCTCTTTTTGTCTATGAATTATGAGGGGAATTGGGGTGAAATAGCAGTGGTTTTGCTGTTGTGAGCTGTTCGTTTGTTGGAACTGAATTCCATTATAAATGGGGCGGCCAGGATTGAGGAGCTGTGGTGTCTCGGCGGAGTATTTGTGTGAACAACCGAAATTAGATATTAGTGATAATATTCGTCTAGTGCAACATATTTCAAGATCACAGAATGTTGATGAAAATTATGCCGAGTTTTTAAAGTTTCTCTACAACTATGATATAAATTCTCAGTCATACACAAATGAACATGGACATGATGGCAGTGCTGATGTGGTTGGGGATGAAGCTGACCCGCAGTACCAGATATTTTTGGCTAATGCTAAGCCAGATGGAAAGTCATATGTGCTTAAAGTTGATTCAGAGGATGGCGTTCCTGTGCTCATAAAGTATGAAAACGAGTGTGGGTGTAATCATGGGTGTGAATGTTTGCATCGGAAAAAACAGAAGGATATGGAGATGCAAAAGGATCCCGTGGATGAGAAAAATTTGCTCAGTAGCATAAAATCCTTGGGAGACGTGGATGCAATATTTGAGCCTGTCGATCCTATTTCTAAGAGGAAACTTGGGATTGTGAGCCGGAAGCGTAGCACGGAAAAACAGGGTGCGTCCAAGCGTCAGGGCAAGTCGGAGACTAAGATAAGGTCAGGTGAGGAGAAGATGATGGAAAAAGGGAGTAAATCAGTTAATGTCACAGGCAAAGAAGAAGCATCTGATGTAGAGGAAGATTATAGGTTAATCCTGGAAAATCTTCAATGTAAGAATTGGGGCTTGAAAGCCTTGTTAAGAAGCGGTACCGTTATTGAATATGAAGCCGTGGAAGATGACGTCGAAATCCTTTACAACAATAGTGGTACACTCAACAAGGTAGGAAGGTTTAACCTTACAGTTTCTTTAAGAAAACACCACGAGAGTATGTTCTTCCGATCTTTGTTTCTCCTCCCTATTTTCTCTTTCGCCTTTACTTGCTCGGTTTCAAGTTTCTGGAAATAGTTCCTCATGATACTTGTATTTTTAAATGAGCTTCAATGAATACTAAGATCGAGGATACATATCCACAGATAAATGTGCGGTCTAAGTTCAGGCAGAAAGTCATGGATCTTCTGAAGAAGCCTTACGATCAAAATGAGTATGAAGAACTATGGAGTGATGTTAATGCTAAAAAACCAGTGCTAAAGCATATGGACTTGCGTAATGGGAAAGTGAAATTTTATGGGACACAGAAAATGGGAAAGTCATATCTGGATCACCATGAAGGTAAGGTCAACATCCTGTAAGTTAGCTTTTCATCGTCTCAATTGTATGATTTCCAGTATTTTCAAAGTTTCGGTAGCACTGCACCTCGCGTAGTTTCTGCTGCATATGTCAGTTCAGGTGAATTCTATATCCTCTCAAACGTTAGTAAATATTTGGATAATGGTTGTCATCTGTCATTGAACTCAAATGGCTTGGAGTAACTTCCTTTGTTTATCTAAAACACTTTACATTTTGTAGTATCTGATCTCATCTTTGGATGTCTTGCTAGTTTCTGTAAGGTATGGTGTCAATGCAAAAGAATAGTACAAAATGTTGTAAGATGTCACCATAGTATAAAGGATGACAAATCCAAAAAGATTTAATGGAATTCTGTTCATTTATACCACCTGCAGGCCATAGCATAATTAGGTTGATTATTGACTAGTTGCTCCAGGGAAGGTGCGAAAACTTTCATTGTATTGTTTCATGCTTTTCTATTGGATGTTTTTACAGCCTTCCAAATTTCAGAATTGTCATGGTGAAGTGTAGGACAGTACACTTGTGGATGAACTATGGAAAGGAAAAGAAATAGAGAAAATTATGAATTATGAACTGTAAGAAACTAAGAATACTTTTTCAACTTTAGCTGCCCCAATTGTTAGTTTCTCACAAAGTTTTGTACTTTTACTAGAGTGAGATCCTCGTCCCTCGGAACATCTTCAATAAAGATACGAGAATATTTCACCTTTATTACGTTTGAAGCCAGTGTCTGTCAAGCTGCAAAAGTTTTAGGTCATTAATATGCACCATATTGAGGAATCTTACTGATGGCAAAAAAACTGTGTTCTATATTTGGATGAAATTCAATACTTATTATCTTTCTCCAACATTTTTACATCCACGCTTTGAATCATAAATGTCATGCTTCGCTAGGTTTGAAATATTGATATAGTGCTCCAGGTTCATTTTCGGGCTGCCCTGCTTCAGGTGGATTTTGTCAAGAAATCTCTTAAAATTTGTTTCTTGATTATATTTAGGACCAGTCTTACCACTCTAGAAAAAAAAGATGGACTAATGTTATCTTGTAATTTAGAAGTCGTTCTGCAGTTAATCCCTTTTTTTTTCCATTTTAAAATTCAGAAACAATCTGTTTCCTATGAAGCTTACCATCTAGGGTATCACTTCCAGACTATATGATAAGTTGACCATTTGCAACTAGTGCACCATAGATTGAACTTTTTGCATTTTTATTTTTGATAAGGGGATTGAAATTCTAGCATTAATAGACCAACGATAAAAAAATATTGTTTCTTGTATGTCCATCAAGGAGTAACCCTTCTCTTCTTTTCTCTTGGGAATTGGAACCCAAAGGCATAGAAACACTAGCTCATTTCTAGTTGAGTGACAAAGGAAACCAGATTATATTGTAAGTTGTGTTCCATTGTTCCTTCAACTACAAAAATCCACGTTTTGCGTAAAAGTTCGCCTATTGAAACAATGGGAGCTCTTTGTTGAAAGCTAGTTGTTCTTGGATTGTTTGGGATGTTTGGGCATTGTCGATTGCTAGAAACATTAACTGCTGTAGAAGATTTTCCTTTTCTTACTTTTGCAATTTTGATGTATTCAGATCAATGCCAATCTTCACCTTCATCTTACTTTTTGTGGGCTCTCTCTCTGAATTCTCTGCAGTTTCGGCACTATGAAGTCATTCAAACTTTGTGCTTCCTCAATTTTACTTTAGTTTCACTATACCGTCGTTACATGATAGTACATGTTTCAAATTATACCTGCAGACCTTCAAAAAAGACTTAAAGAAGTTGATAATGATAATAGGAAAAAGTTGAAGATCTTGCGTGGCTTTTTCTTTTGGTTACAGGTGAGTGGTTCATCTCAGCACAATAGTGCAGAATACATTGATGTTTTCCTTTTGGATTGGGTTCTTGATATACCTCCACCTGTCTGTTGCTAATCAATGAAAGAAGGTTGTTGGTCAAAAGATACTGTTACATGGATGTATGTTTTAAATACAAGGTTTAACGCTATCTCGAGACCTTAAAGTTGCTAGTTAGAATTTGAATTCTGGATAAAAAAAGGACTAACATTGTAATCCTTTTATTAACAACATTAACAAATGAATGATGAGGTTTATGAAATCAGCAAGTACCTAATTGCCTCACCTTATGAAAAGTAACAATGTTTCAGTTTAAACTCTTGTTTGGGCTAGTTTCCTATGCATTTTCACTAAACTAGGTAATGATTACATTGATGACAAATTCAGAACTAGCAAAAAACATAAAACACTTTACCATGTGTCGTGCTTCTGTAGCCAATGCCAGCGAATGATTTTTCTTTATTATGAATAATTAGAACTAAGTTTCAGAGAAACATCCAATGTGTTAATATGAGAAGACAAAACACCATTGCCCTTTTGCATCTTGTCTAGTTCTGCAGTGACCTATGTTTAAACTTTCGAGTGATTCACGTGATCAGAAAATTTGGGTAATTAACAACTTCGTCCCATTGAAGCTTCAGAAGAATTGAAATTGTTGTATTCATACGCCGGTTGAATATAAGGATTATGTGTTTACCCGAGTGCTGATCCCATTTGTCTAGTACAAGTAGTTTCAGGATGAGCACTCAACCATATAAATCCGATACTTGAATTTCAATAATCATCTTAATCAACTTGTGGGATTATACTGGGGCATATTGTTGTTGTATTGTAACCGTCATATGATTTAGTCAGCAACCTGTTTTTTCGCTATGTTCTATTTATTGCATGCTAATTTTTTCACTGACAAATTTAGTCGTGTATTTTCTCATTTGGTGGTTGCTAGAATCTCACCCACAAGGAATCATTCATACCTTGGAAAGACGCTGAGTTTCTTTCTCGGGCAGCTGAGTCCAGCTAGAAGTGATGCACCTGCAGTCTTACTTTTTTGCAACTAACCACACGAAGACATCCACTGAAACATGTCTATGAAGTATGTCATGGTGAAGACTGGAATTAGCACTGCATTTTATACATGGAAGCAAGCCTAGCAGTGGAACATCTTGTGAATTCTCGGCATGGCTTTGGAATTTTTTTTTGTGATCTTCTAAGTTCTCGCTCCCGCCCCTTCCCCCAAGGCCCTGGGGATTTTTGTACGTCGGATGTAAAAGGAGTTGATGTCAATATGCATGCAAAAGCAAGATCCACATGCAGATTTTAGCTTTTTATTTGGACTATCAGAATTGTCCTATTTCCTTTGTAAGGTGCAAAGGAGAACAGCGGGAGTGAGGTTTGTAGGGAAAAATAAGGCCACTAATAAAGGCATATTCAGGATTTGAAGTTTATGGGTTCCTATAACGATCTCAAGTTAGAAAAAAAAAAGAAAAAGACAAAAGCAAGGGCAGCTCGGTGCACTAAGTTCCCGTTATGCGTAGGGTTCAGGGAAGGGTTGGACCACAAAGGTGTATTGTACGCAGCCTTACCTTGCATTTTTGCAAGAGGGTGTTTCCACGGCTCCGTGACCTTCTGGTCACATGGCAACAACTTTACCAGTTATGACAAAACTCCCCTTCTACAACAATCTCAAGTAATTTACAATAATAACTAGGTTTACAACCAAATATATATAGATATTTTAATGCATATTTCAAATCACTATAACTAGGGGTGTACATAAGCTGGGTTGGTTCGGGTTTTTCAATTACTAAACCAAACCAATTGTGACGGGTTTTTAAATCTAAAGACCAAACCAAACCAACAAAAGTTGGATTTTTCAATTTCATGTTTTCTCGGATTTTCGTTTTTTTCGCCGTTAAAGTCTTCATAGCACAAAACATTTAACTCTTGCCCCAAATATTTCTTTAATCCTAGTAAGATACAAATATATAAGGTGTTTCTCAAGAAAATAATTCAAAATATGAAATTTGTCATGTCACTATCCTATAATATTCAACAATAAAGATAATAGAATCGTACAAAATAAATATTACTAACTAATAAGCCATTATAAAAATTTAACATAATCTAAAAGTACTAATCATGCTTAAAATAAGTATGACGAATAAATACTATCAATTACATGATTAAACACTAAAAAAAAAATAGGTTATGCATTTTTATCTAAATCATTGCAAAACAAAAAAATAGATTGTCATTCCTAGTAATGAATTGAATGTCTTTTGTTAGTATTAGTATCGATTTAATTTTGGTTTAGAATATTTATGGGCTATAAAACTTATTGGAGCATTCAAAAGTTCTAGGTCCAACTTTGAAAATAGCACGTTAAAAGATAAACTATGAAAAAGTTTAAGAAATATTTATAAATTACTTTACAAAAAGTATTTTTATGTATTACATAAATTTAAAATTTCTATACATGTAATGTCAGGTTAGTTTGGTTTCGGTTTGACTTTTTTTAGTTAAAACTAAACCAAACTAATTATGATCGGGCTTTTTTTCCAACACCAAACCAAATTAAACCGAAGCATAGTCGGGTTTTTTCATCAATTTGACTTGGGTTATCGGTTTGGTGCGATTTGTCGATTTCTTTTTACACCTCTAACTACAGCATTACTACTTCGCAATTTCTTGTATTCCTTATCCTCAGATATGTTGTGAATGTGAAGGAAAAATGAAGTCCAAGTGTGCTCGCTTTATGACATGAAAGGCGCAAAAGTACTAGTATTGCACAGAACATATGCTATTCCTTTTACACTGATTTTTTTTTTTTTTAAAAATTTTATAATATGAAATTCCTATAGATTTTGTCACACGTTTTTTTGTTTCAATCATGTAACGAGGAACATAAAATATTTATTCTTTTTTTATTATTTTCCACGAAATGATTATTTGACCCATTCTTACAAAAGAAAAAAAAAATATTTGCATCTAAAACAAATAAGTGTATAATGTGTATCTAACAAAACTTGAAGTGCGGCTGTAAACCAAGTTATAATATAAGTAAAATTAAAGTTGAAAATTAATGTTTAAAAACAATCAATAAGTGTATAATGTTTCTAGCACACCTTGAAGTGCGGGTGTAAACCTATTTATAATATAAGTAGCATTAAATTTGAAAATTAATGTTAAAAAACAACTAATGATGAAGCCAAAAATTTCACTCAGAATATTTAACTTAATATAATGTATAAAAAATATATTTGACATATATACACAAAGTGACACAATTGATGCTTGTGCTCATCGTTTCTGATTTTCAGTTTGTTAGAATTGTTCTTAATTCCGATAGGTAATCAACACTGTATAAAATGCCATTGAAAAATCAAGGATATAATCGTAAACACATGCTTGAGATTCAATTTATACATCTTATATGTGATTTTTAATATGATGAACCAAACATATGTACATGCATTAAATAATGTATGTATCGTCCGTATAGCAGTCTAGTTAGGCATTGACATAGATTATTAATGTGATGAATATATTGATGTAAAGATTGTTATACGATAAATTATAATGCATAGATTGTTATATGGTAAATTAAAATACTATATGGATTGTTATTAGGTAGAAATGGCCTATTTTAAGGACATTTGTATCTTTAGATACTTTTAAAAATCACGTATGGTAAGACATATTCTTATCCTTCATAAATCTTCGTATAAATTACTCTGAAATTAGTAATACAACTTTTACTACACTTTGCATTATTTATGCTATATATTTATTAAAGAAAACCAAACATTTTATTAGTTACTATAAAGAATTTGAAACCAAAAACTAAATGTTTTATAAATAATAGTATAAGTAATACGGAATTCTATAAGATGATTAGTAAACCCTCTGTTCCAGTCTATGTGAACCTATTTCTTTTTTGGTCCGTTTCAAAAAGAATGAATTCTTTTTAAATTTGGTAACAATTTAGCTTAAAGTTACAACTCTACCCTTAATGAGAACCTTTTATAACCACACAAATACTCTGGGCCCCATTTTGACTTGTTTAGGACCACAAATATCAAAAGTCTTCATTTTTTTCTTAAACTTTGTGCCCAGGTGAACGGAGAGAGTAACTTTTTTCTTATACTCGAAACCATAGGACCCATGTGATTATTACAATATCTAACCAACCAAACTAGCCACTATAGAGTATTGTATTCCCTTGTTGACTAAAAAGACTTGGTAGTATTATTTTCAGTGAGAGAAAAGAAAGGCATAAGCATCAGATGCTCGGGCTCGGCCACCCCACCATGATGATGATGCACCCTTTTGGAATATTGGACGGACCATTATATTAACTCCTCTTTCCCTTCCCCATTTTTCTTCATATCATACAACACATAGTCGCACATTTTCTTCTTCCCTTATTTCAAATTTCCAGTTAAATAATCAAAAGATATAATGGCGGATCAGCTGACTGACGATCAGATCTCTGAGTTTAAAGAAGCCTTCAGCCTCTTCGACAAGGACGGCGATGGTCTGCCTCTGCTCTTTCCCCTTTTTAATAATTCTTTTTCTTTTCTCAGATCCATTCCTATTTTTGCCCTTTTTTTAATGTTGCTTTCGATTGACAGTTTTGTGATCTATGATTTGCAGCTAATTATAAGCTTTGATGTTCATTACGTGAAAATTGTAGGCGAGATACTGTTTCTTTAGTTGGTTGTTTCAATTTTGTTTATTTGATTTTTGATAGAAATGAATGTGAACATGGATCTATGTGAAACTTGTGGCTTCTATATCTTGAATTCCTTAATTGATCTTTCCTAGTAGTTGAGCTTGAGGATTTGTTATTTTGGGGGTTACATATATGTTAAATCAGTTAAATAGGTCGATCGTTTTATTTTGGTTTTTTCCTAGTTGGTGGATTCTACTGGTGAATTGTGATTTCTTTGGCTTTGTTTCTTGATGGATTCTCTCCATTTTGTTCCATGTGGTAACTTGTTTGTAATTGTGGATTTCACTACTTTCCATTTATTGCTTTACCTTGTTGGTAAAGAGCATTCTAGTCTATTCAGTGTGTGCCTATTCAGCAATTAATAGATTATTTAGAGAAAGATCCAAGTTTGGAATTTTATATATGTGACTGTAAATGTCCACAGTCGATAAATATGCAACTTGAGAAGATAGCAGATTATAGTGGGTAGCAATAGTTAGGACTCGAATATGAGTAGCTGCTGGCCCTTGAAACAATTGATTCTTTCAACTTCTTTCAGTTCAAGTGATTTTGCCTATTTGATATCCATTTTCTGTTTGGAAATAATTGTCCCTCTACTAAGATTGAAGTGTGGGATGCTGCATTAATGATGCTTATTTTCCGCTGTTGGGATCACTCATAGGCTTTTATAATCATGATGAAACTTGTGTTTCTGCTGCTCCTTTGTTTTCATTTTTTTCCCTTTGGTATGCTTAGAGAACAAAAAACTGTTGGAAGGTTGATGTTAAGCCTATTTCCCATGTCCATAGAAACAAGAGGAAAAGAAAAGGAAAACCAGCTTTAGTATTGTAAGCTCTTAAAACTAGACATGTTTAGTAATCATGTGCAACCACGCTGCAGGTTGCATCACTACTAAGGAGCTTGGAACCGTGATGCGGTCATTGGGGCAGAACCCAACCGAAGCTGAGCTTCAAGATATGATCAATGAAGTCGATGCTGATGGGAATGGGACCATTGACTTCCCTGAGTTCCTTAACCTGATGGCTCGCAAGATGAAGGACACTGATTCTGAGGAGGAGCTCAAAGAAGCTTTTAGAGTGTTCGACAAGGATCAGAATGGATTTATCTCAGCAGCTGAGCTTCGTCATGTCATGACAAACCTAGGTGAGAAGCTTACAGACGAAGAGGTTGATGAGATGATTCGTGAAGCTGACGTGGATGGGGACGGGCAGATCAACTATGAGGAATTCGTCAAGGTCATGATGGCCAAGTGAGAATCCAACTTAATCTTTAAAATTAAAGTACAACAAAAAGGAACGGCGGATAAGTCTGATGAGGTTTCTATTTCTGGTTAGGATGTCTTCTTTGGCTTATTAGCTTCGTCTGGGTGCTTGCCTATTCTATTCTCATTGTTTCGTAATGATGTTCTTTGGTATATGCTTTTTTGCTCCCTTCCTATATTAGTAGCTTGTTTGTTAGTAAGTATTGGTATTTTCTTCAACATTTGATATTAAACCTACCACAATTGTGGGAACCTTGAATGTCTTTGTTTTTTCCTCCCTTTTGAATGAGTAATTTCATCTATATTTTCACATGTGTTTGTCTTTATTCTACAAGTAGTTTTTTGTGTTTCGCTAGACTTGGACGAACCACATACTCCGTATCAGGGTAGTCTAAGATTATGTAGGTGTAGGAGACTTATATGGTTATACTCTTAACATCATTTGCGCGCCTATCTTTTGGGTTTATCATAAAGCTTTCTTCTTTGGCATAAAGAAAGCTTGTCCCATCTACAATTTTGAGTTAAGGTGCGGAAGTTATGTTGAGGTTGTTTTTCAAGCCTCCTTTCCATTTATTTGTGGAATGTTGAGCTTGACCTCCATCAAGATTGGACCTGTGGCCATTAAGCCAACTCAAAAGGTTGTGCGTCGAGTATGGTTCGTGTTATATAAAAAATGGCAAGGAATGAAAAGAAGTTTAGTATTTATGTTGTCTGCTTACTAATTTGAACAGAAAGGAAAGGAAATTATGCACCTAGGTTTGGTTTAATGGTCAATAAAGTGGATACAAACCTTGAAGATCATTTACAAGTTTCTTCTCATCTGTCTAATCATTGGCCAGTGGAGTTGGCTCGGACAGTGCTGTCATAAATAAACGGGAAAGGAAACTATTGCTCTCGGCAATGTCCCAAATGAAGCTTTTGCTAAAGAAGATGACTTGTACTGATCTTACTTTCTTTTCAAATCTCTTTACCTTTCCTTTTCGAACAAATTCCCTTTATCCAAATGCATTTATAGTGGAAATAGAATCTATTACTAACATTTTGATAGAAAAAGTGACATTTCATTTCAGTACAAATATAGCTAAATTTGTCCCAACACAAGTGGATTATAGAAGGGAAAGTGAGCACTCAACACAACATTTATTCCCCTCCTGGTAGATTGGACTTCCCACCCAGAAAAGAATAAAAAGGAGAAAGGAATCTGACAATTATTGCTTTTGTTTCACATCAGGTTAGGTTTCACGCAAAACTAACTCGATTAGTATTTTCAATACTTGTTGAACTAAAGAGATACTATTCGCTTTGAGTTGGGTTCTCCTTTTAGGGTAGTAGAGAATACTTTTTGGCAAAACAGCGGCCAACTATATGAAGAAATGTGCCATATCATTCTATACGTTGAAATATACTTTACTTTATTATTATTTCGGGAATTAAAAAAGGCTTTTCTTTGAACATGATTTTTAAAATATTTAAATTTGAAACTCTTCTGACCTAAAGTAATTTTTTATTTAGTTTTTTATATATGTAAATTTAATTTTAAAATATTAAAGAATTTATGATCAAATTCACACCAAAATTTAAATAGTTTAAACTTCATACTTCGGATCCTGCTACATAAAAATTGAATTGAGGTAGTATTTTTAAATTTTGTAAGTTACTAAACATATTTATAACATATCTTTCTAAATGTTTTTATTTTGAGGAACTAGTATACCTATAAATTCATAAAAATTCTATATAGTTCTTGCAAAGGGTTAAATTAGCAAAATCTTCGTCTCTTTCCTTTCTTCATCTATTTCCTTTTTTCTCCCAATTTTTTCCTTCAACTTTTTTTTTTCGTTTATATTTCTCCGTGCTAGTTTCTTGAATATTCTTTTTATCATCTTTTCTTTCAGAATGATACTCCCTCCGGTCCAAAATAAGTAAAATCTTTAATTAAAACGCCAAGAAAATTTAACTCCTTAATTCACATGAAGTCATGTCATTTTTATTATTTACAGCAGGCGGCGAAGGAGGATTGAAGAAAGTAAAAGAGCCTACTCAATCTCACAGAGCAACGGAAGGAAAAGCCGTAAGAGAGATCGATGCACAATCCTGTGATCCCTCCTTAATTATTTTTAAACAAAATGTTTTAAGTATTATGACTTACGGTTCGAAATTCGATAGATAATAAATGTACTCCTTCGATTTTAGTTGTTGTTGTATCCTAGTCTACGACTAAATCTGTCCTCAGCTTTATGTCTTTGATCGAAATCTTCTGTTTTTTTTTTCTTTTGTCCTAATGAAATCTTCTGTTTGCTTGTTATAACGTCCTAGTCTTCAAAATAAAATAAGTCAGTATTGTGCTCTACCATTCATGGTTTCTAAAGTTTTGATACTCCTATAATAAAAGTAGCTCTTTACCATCTGAATGAACTTTTCACCCAAAAAAGGGGGCAAAATATAAAGTTGGCCTTCGGCCGAAATTAATTGCATTTGTTAAAAAAAAGAAGGTATATATATATATATATATATATATATATATATATTATCGGCTATTATTTTTTAGAGCGGCTAAAAATATATATTTCTTAAAAATAATTGATTGTCAATTATTGGTCATTTGACTATCACAATTTTAAATAAGTTTTGGGACCGTTTGTCCATTTCAATAATCATACTTTCCTTTATCTGTTAGCATATATCTTTTTTATTTGGTTTGCCAAAAAAAGCATTACGCTTTGTGTACTAGAAATCCAAACTATTGCCATATTCTTTTTCTTTAACTTTTCTTGTGAGAATATTTGAATGGAATTGTCTATAAATGATCCGTCTCCACAATGAAAACACAAATATATAGAAATTTTTATAATAAACGATATTTTGTCCTTATTTACAATAATGTAAATGAATTAAGTCATATTTATAAAAGGTATCAGTATAAGCAATTGATTTTGGTAATAATAGCTTTACTAATACATGAAATTAAGTCTCCAGTATGCAAATCATAACACTAAAATTCCGGAAAATGCAGAGGACTACGATCAATGGTACTACATTTTAGTAAACATGGTACAACAAACAAAAGCAGGACTTTTAATTAGATGACAATACTACCCATGTTTTTCCTCTCCAATTCCCACTAATATATATTTTTGTAAAATTAATCCAGCTGAGATTAAATCTTTTTTCACTTGGTTAATTATATCTTTGACTTACCCTCATCTGTTTTCTCTTTTCTTTTCAAACTCATATTGTTCTCTCAATCGTGAAAATAGCACGGCTAGCTAGTTTTCGAACTGGTAATTGAAAAATAGCCAGCGTTTGCAAAGTCATTGAAAAATAGCCACTATTTTGCTGCAACACAGAAAGTTCCAGCATAATATACTGGAGATTGGTGCACGTGTATGAACTTCCAGCATGTTATGCTGGAACTCCAACGCACGGAAAGTTCCAGCATAATATACTGGAAATTGGATCATTTGTGTATGAACTTCTAGCATATTATGCTGGACCAGTATATTATGCTGGAACTCCAGTATATTATGCTAGAACTCTAGTATAATATACTGAAGTTCCAGTAAACTCCATTATAATATGTTGGAGTTCTAATAAATTTCAGTATATTATACTGGAATATTTTTCGAATTTGAACAGTGTTGTCGTCTAAATTTATCTTTACATGAAAAGTGACTAAAAATTTTGATTACTTTTGAAATTATGGCTATTTTTCAATTATCACTTGTAAATCTGGCTATTTTTGAATTTCTCCCCTCTCAATCCCAAAGGTTAACTTCTTTGTGGGCCTGAGAGCAAATCCATAGAGATTTAGATATTAATATTTTTATGTTGATATTATTTTCATTCCAAATTTGATACGTTAATCCAATATGCCAAATAATTAAGGGCCGGTTGATGTAAAATAATTACAATCGCTAATCAAATATATATTTTATATACACTAATTATTTATATTATATATTAATATACAAAAAATAAAAAAAAATTGGCTATTAGTTTTTATGACGACTATACAATGTAGCAACAATAACAACAATCCAGTAAAATCTTACTAGTGGAGTCTGGGGAGGGTAGTGTGTACGCAAACCTTAGCCCTACCCCGAAGGAGTAGAGAGGTTGTTTCCGAAAGACCCTCGGCTCAAGAGAATAAAAAGACAAAAGAAGACAATATTAGTTTCACTACAGAGATCATAAGAAAAATAAGAACATAAAATGTAGAAGAAAAAATGCAAAGCAAAAACGATGGCTAGTAAATAGGTCCTGCACCGAAAAAAGAAAATAGTAAGCCACGATATTGCCACTAGCTATCTTAAACAAAAGCCCTACCAGACTAGGTTCACAAAGGTACAAAGTAAGACAAGATTCAACTACCTCCTAACCTACGACTCCACGACTTCCTGACTAATTACAAGTGCATGTATAACATTGATTCGATCTGTCAAACTAAAGAATTTAATTATATTTCACAATTCAAAAATAGGATAAGAGATTGCCTACTAAAATTGTAGTAATTAATTACATCTGTTCTTTCTCTTTCAATAGTAAGTCTGTGTTTGACCATTCATATAAACTAATTTTTCACGAGTATGTTATCGTATATTAATTAACTCATATATAAATTAAATCAACTGACATATACTGATATGTTAAATAATTAATCATGATATGAACTAATTTACACTTGTATGTATGACATCGGTTATGCTGACAAATTTAACCATATAAGCAACTAAGCCATAAGCTTACGTGGTTCATCTGTTATATTAAATAATCAAATTTCACAATTCAAATAATAGAATATGAAACTGTGTAAATTTTTTAGCTAAATCTATAGTAAATTACATTTGGGTTTGACCATTCATATATACTAGTAGTAATTTATCACGAATATGTATGTCAATTTCTCTTCAAATTATTGACATATACTGCTAATGTCAAATAATCAATATAATACAAAATATTCACATGCGAATTGCGTTGGTTCTACGTGCTGACAAATTTAACCATGTATGCAACTAATCCATAAGCCTACATGGTTCTATCTGTCAAACTAATAATTAATTTAATTTCAAAATTCAGAAAATAGAATAAGAAACGGCGTAATTTTCTTAGTAAATACCTCTTTTTTTCCTTTCTCACCGTACCTATTTCTCATTTTGTTGATTGAAAGAGAATATGCGTTATTCATTGAGTAAAGAGAGGGTTTTCGGCCTTTACAATATTTACTATATTTCGTATGTTACAGATATAGCACGTCCTTTTTTTGCTATATGAAATCCACACTTTGACGCCAAAGATTTTATAACGAATAAACTTTCGCATGAGCATAATCTATTTTCTAGTTTAATATTACGAGATATTTTTTCATATTTTCCGCATTCAGTTCTAACTTATTAGGCCAAAAGCTCTGTGAAGGCAACAAAAGTCCACAAACACCAACGAGTAAAATCTCTTGAATATGCGTCGGACCATTTATATATCTAATTTATCATGTGCATGTCAAATTCTCCTATATATTCGTGTACCAATACTAAATATAAAAGAAGGAAAAGCAAAGAAGCGAATTAATAATTATCTTGAGATAAACATAAAAGAAAAAGTGAAAGTAGAGACTTAATTAAACCAAAATTTGCAAAACCAAAAACTACACTTTTAGTCAGATAGATTTCTCATTAAGACTTCAATGAATATTATCCCCATTAAAGATTGCATGCATTGTAAAATCCGTTATCATTATTTAGTTAATTAGTAACATCTACTTAATGCTTCCTAATTTGCTAGATTTTTGTTATCTCCTTCACATATCAATCTCATTATTTTCTTCCTTCTTATATACTTAGTAGCTTTTATTTTTGCACTCAAATAATGTCCAGATCTGAGAGGTTCTGGCAAAGAAGAGAAAAACTTAGGGTTAACTCCAGGTTTATTATCTTCTGCCGTCTTTTTTAACTTAATTTTCATATGCTTTAATTTCTATCTTATGTTAATTTTTATAAGTCTTACAAAAAGTTTCTTGTTTCTCTTTGATATTAGAGTAGAAAGGACTTGGATATGAAGTTGACGAGGCCAATAGAGATAGAAGAAGGGGAGATCAAGAAACGCCACGTGTGTCCTTATTGTGAGAAAGAGTTCAGCAATGGAAAAGCTTTAGGAGGGCACAAAAGAATCCATTTGTACAAGATGAGGGGTAGAAAAAATCTGAAACTTCCTTTCTCATCAAATTTAAATTCTGAATCTGTCGTCTCTGTGTCCGATTTGGAACAGGTACCTGCAGCGTTTCGCAAAGTACTAGAGGAGGATCTTAAAGATGTTTTACCAAGGTGGGGTAGTGTTGGGAAAAGAGGGAAGATGGGTTACGGTCACATTATTCGTACATCTTCCAATGCAGAAAAAATGATACCTCCTCCGTCCCAATTTATATGGCCAAACAAATTACGTGCTGAAAAGGGTGATCATCAAAGAGTGCATTCCTTTGATCTCAATGAACTTCCACCAGAAGCAGTAGAAAATGGACTTGATTAGACAAAGCTCCGCAAATTCTATATGTTCCTGTTTTGGTATGATACAGTAGCAAAAGTTCAACTATCAATTGCACCTGATTTCTACGGGTTCGTAGCTTTTGAAAAGTTAGTGGACTTTTTTCTTTTTAGTATGTTTAAGAAAGAACGATGCATTTTTATATTTGAATTTTTTTAAATGTTAAGCATTTTATTTTACCTTCATTGTCAGCTCTTATTATCACAAAAATGTCATTACATGTCTGAGGTTATAAATACTAAGGGTTACTTTGAGAAGAACTTAGCGAAGAAAAGGTAGAAGTAGAACCTAAAGGAGTTTGAAGCTTTAAAAATTTATTGATTATATCAACTCTCGTTAAAAGAACCTAAAAATCAAGAAACACAATAAGTTGAGTAACTTATTAAGGGAGTTGTGTCTAGCATTTGGGTATTTTCTAAAATAGAAAGATTGTCATGTAAATAGATATAGATGGAGTGTTTTTTGTTCAATGATATGGATTTTCTATTAGAGACGAGCTCAAAATAGAACCTTTTGTTAGAGTTTATTTAATTCACCCACATAAAAAAGTTGCTTCCGGTTATGTCAAAGTGCCAAAGATTCAAGCTTTAACAAATTCGACATCATAAAAAATTTAAAAAGAAAATAAATGGATTAAAAACAATAAAGACAATTATCAATGAAAGAAATCCCACTTGCTGCTAATGAATGTCAATAATTTTGAAATGTATGAGTTCCATAGCATGGACATTGATCACGCCCAACTATGCCTTATAAAAAGGACAATGC